AGAAAGTGAGAAATCACCCCCCAGCAGGGATGGCCACGCCGCAATCCCTTCTCCTCCATTCTCCTCTCAGGATCTTGGGTACGCACGCACACGTCCGGGTCCGGGACTTGAACCGCAGTCGACTAGGTGGGAGTCCAGCGACATAGCCATTCCGCCACCTGCTGGTCCCCTCCCCCTGCAAGTTTCTAACTAACTGGTCAATAGGGGTGAACAAGGTCGCCTAACGCAGAGAGGTAAAGTGAACACAATTTTGCTCTCCTGTAATTTTATTAGGTTAACCTGCACCTGACCTTTGCACGGCTGTTACCACACAGCCCAGAGTCAACCAAGTGATCGGCAGTGCTTTTAGCAGATCTGCATTTTACCTTAAAGCAGAAAAGTGCCATCTCTGGTGTGTGTGTGTGTGGGGGGGCACCCAGCAATAACTGACAAGACAGAGAGGATCCTGTCAAGGATCTTGCTGCTCCTCACACCCTAGAAGCTGACCAGGAGCCAGACCTGGGCAGCTGCCTCCGACCCTCCAGGCCATAGGACACCGCCGCCCACCGGGCATGTAGCCTGTTACCAGGCACGCTCTCAGCACTAGGCTGGCAGTGTCCCACCTGAGGTCACCACCTCAGCACTAGGCTGGCGGTGTCCCACCTGAGGTCACCACCTCCCCATGCAGGAGACGGCCTGCTGGGCTGGACGTTCCAACCGCCCCAGTCCCCACCTGCATTCCTGGGTTCAGCCCGAGCCTGACTACGGGACCCTCGTGGTCAGACCTCCCTCTCGCAGATGGGCCCCAGAAGGGGCTCAGGAGGGAGGAGACAGACTCTGAGGCCTCAGGGAGAGGGTGTAGCTGCCCCCTACCCAGTGCGTGATGGCATCCGTGTGGAACGAGGGCGACAGGGCGCCATCTCCGGCCCAGCCCAGCCCCAAGTGGTTGTCCCCAGAGACGCCATGTCAGCTCTTCACCAGGCCACCCCCTGAACTGAGGCGAAGCAGCGCAGGCCCCAGCGTCCTGTCACCTGTGCTCTGCTTGGCCCATGGCGCGGCTGCTTACCGGCATCCTGATACTGCCGGTAGGCGGGGTCGCTTTCCCCTGCGAAGACCCCGATGACAACGACATCGTCTCCATCCTTCAGGAACTCCTGCACCTGCTTCAGGGTCAGGATCTCCTTGGAAGGCGGCCCGGACTGCTCCACCATGTAGTCGACGATCCCTACGGGGGAGCACACGCCTGAGGAGGGGCCTCAGAGCCCTCCCACCACCCCGTTCTGCCGTGCGCCCACTCCCACCAGGGGCTCCCCTTCCCCACACGCTGAGAGAAGGGAAAAGCCATACCGTATTTTTCTCGTGGGCCGTTGTAGTCAAAAGGCCTCCCCTTGCGGAAGATTTTCAGGGTGGGGTAGCCGGAGACATCGAACCTCTTAGCCAGGTCTGTCTCCGCGGTGGCGTCGACCTTTGCCAAGGGGATGGGAGGAGAGCGCTTGCTGAGCTCCTTGGCAGCCTTCTCGTACTCGGGGGCAAGCTTCTTGCAGTGTCCACACCTGCCACGAGAAAGCTACTGTCAGGGGCCTGTCCCAGGCTGGCCTCACTGTCCAGCTGGATGAGGCACAGACACCCAGCCCACTCCTCGAGCGGCTCACACCCAGAAAGGCACCGAGCCAGGCCCCCGGGAGATGCCAGCAAGACGAAGACAGGGCCCTGTCCTGCGGCATTCACACCCTGGGGGACGCAGGTGCACGTGCACAGCACACATGCAACGTCCCAGGGAGGGAGAGGGTCTTCCTGGTCGGCGAGTCAGAGGCCTTTAAGGACATAAGTCATGGCTGGCTGCACACAGGAACTGAAATGCCCCATCGTGTGAGAACTGACAACACACCCGGCCAGGTTCACAGGCTCCTGGACCCAAGTTAAAAACCCAAGCCTTGTCAAGGCCCTTAGGAAACCTAAATGAAAGAAGCGCCCCACACCACGTAAACCACCTGCAGGAAGGAGCGCTGTTCGCTGCCGAGTCGAACCAGGTAAGCCTGTACTGTCGCACCTGCTGCAGGTGCAGGGACAGCGGTCTGCTGGACCCCACCCCTGAATAGCCAAGTGGAATCCACAAGTGACCAGTCGGTATGATGGGCAGGCGACCCTCCTCCCTGCCACCCCTCCTGCTGCCGGGCTGGGGCCCACTCGGTAGCAATGCAAGGGCTGGCGCTTCTCCAGCACAGGAGGGTTCCGAGGGTCCCAGGGCCTGCCCACCCGTCCCAGGGCCTGCCCACCCGTCCACAGGGCACTTCCCGCCTTCTCCCCGCTTCTCGTCTTCCAGCCACCCACACTTCTCTCTTTGTCGGACACCCTGAGGGCCCCCAGGTGCAGTATTTTTGCTGCAGAACCCATAGCCCTGGGTCCAGGCTCATGGAGGCACTGCCGCCCTGACCAAGGGTGTGCTGGGCACACCTGAGCTGCCAGGCACCAGCGACGGCCCCTGGGCTTCTCTCTTCGCCCGGGATGAGCCCCCCCGAGACGGTCACCTGGCCATCTGGGAGGGCTGGCAGCCCCGGAGCTGCGCTCAGCTCCCCCGAGCAGCCTCACTGTGTTCTGTCTGCTCTGACTGCCAGGCACACCTGTGCTATCGTGCTGAGGCAGCCGCTCGCTCCCCAGGCTGGGCACCGCAGAGCGGCCACAACGCCACGGCCTGCTCTCTTCTTTCTGGCATCTTCTTTCCTTCGGGTCCCATCACCCCTGCCTCCAAGAAAGGATTACCTCGTGACTCCTTCCTTGCCCCCCCCCCCATCTCCCTTCAGAGTCCCTTCCTCTGTCCTGGAAGACTTGGTGCTGCGACCTCGTCCTGCAACGCATTTGCTCTGTCAGCAGCTCTTTCCCGCTCACAGCAGAGCACGTGCACATGACAGAGAGGGAGAGAGGGAGGGCAGGGAGGGAGAGGGGCAGCATGCACAGTGTCCGTCACACCACAACCCCTGCCTCTAGCCGTCCAGCCCCGGCAGGCACAGTCCGCGTTCAGACTGACCACGCGGGAACTCACACCGGCAGCTGCATGTGGGGTCCAGCTTCTCTCAAGCAGCGTATCATCACCCCTGCACGACAGAGCTGGCCCCTAATCAACACATTAATAACACAAATCTGGGGCCGGCAGGTGACGTGGTGGCTAAGGGTGCTGGACTTCCACATGGCCGAGTGTAGTTCGAGTCCCGGACCTGGCAGTGCTAGCTTGCTTTCTCGCCTTCTCTCCCTCTCTCTGCCCCTCTCTGGCTATATTAAAAAAAATAGTAAGACCACCAGTTGGTGTAATGGCTATGTCATTAGACTCCCATGTAGTCGACTGCGATTCAAGTCCCTGACCCGGTGGCTTAAACTCATGCCCGGTGCATGTGCACGCGCACCCAAGATCCCGAGAGGAAAATGGAGAAGGGACTCGGCGTGGCCATCCCCCTGGGGGGCGATTTCTCGCTTTCTGTCTGTGTTTTTGGCGAGCACATGCACCCTATAGCAAAAACCTCTCAAAAAAATAAAGTTAAATAAAATAATTCTTCAAAAAAAAAAAAAATTAAAATTAAAATGAAATACAAATCTGACGCCCATCTTACCATGGGGCATAAAACTCCACCAGAATGATATCTGCATCATTCACAACTTCGTCGAAGTTATCTTTGGTCAACACGAGTGTGACTTCTGGTGGTGGTGTCCAGTCAGGCTGGGAAACCTCTCTGACCTTGGCGACAATTTCTGGAAGAGACCCAACAAACTGAGCATACGAGACCCCAAGTCGCAGGCACCCTGGCCCCCTCCAGAAGTGTATGGGCAGGGTAGTAAGAGAACCAACAGCGGGTTCCTAAAACCTTACTGCACCTCCACCCAGGGCCTCTCCTGCAGTGTTGAGGACAAAAGCCAAAGGCCTGCTGTTCCCAACAACTGCCCATCACACTTCCACTGCCACCCGTGTCACCTGCAGGCCTCTTCAGACAGCTCAATACCGCGACGCCCTTTATTCCCAGACTATGACAGGCAAACCAACGAACATCTCCCAGTAGTTCCGGCCACACGTGGCAATGAATGGCTCTGGGGGCACCCCCTTAACATGCACTCCAGCACGAGTGTACTGCAGACATAGTAAACGTGTGAAAGACCCCAGGAAAACGCAAGGGGAGCTGCCGCTGCTCAGCAAGAACCACCTGTCCACCCACACCCAGAGGCCTGAGCAGTCAATACGGGGAGGCCTAGCCCAGAAGCCCACCCTGGCATGTGCCGTTCTAGAGGTTCCGAATGGACCAGGTTCCCTGCAGTCAAATGTCGGGCAGAGACCTCCAAGTGTACGCGCCTACGTACTTGTAAACAACAGAAAGCTACTACTCTTGGGACCAGCTGGTGGCATGGTGGTTAAGGCAGCTTAACACACAGCTGACCGCGTGGTTGGGTCCTGGGCCCAGTGACTGGAAAACCACACTGGGTGTGTGCAGTTGCCTGTGTCCAAAATCCTGTGAGGAGAGTGGGGGGTGCTTCCTCACTCCCCACCCCACCCCTTCCCCCACCCCTCCCCCCATCTCTCTGACACACACCCTTTAGTGAACTAAGGAAAAAACAACTCTGTAGAACTCCCGGCCTCTGGCGCCCTATCTTTTCACACTCCTGGCTCCAGACCTTGAGCATCCCAGCCTGAAGCGAGGGACCCCCAACATTCCCACGGTGAGCTGGTTCTCTTGGGGCAGCCAGTCCCAGAAGTTTCCCTCCCCTGACTTCCTGTTCCTGAGGAGGGGAGCCCTGGGTTCAGCTTCCTCTGACAGCTCAGGTAGCACCTTACCTTCCTGGGTCCTGGAGCCCTCGTAGTCAACAGCCTGCCCCTTCTTCAGGATCTTGATGGTGGGATAGCCACTCACATCAAACTTGCTGGCCAGCATGGACGCTGAGGTCGCGTCAATCTTAGCCACAGGGATGGGAGGATCATCAGCCTTCAAGATGCCTGCAATCTTCTCATATTCTGGAGCAAACTGCTTACAATGCCCACACCTAAGAAGTAGATTTAGGAAGGAGAAAGGTTAACTGTGCCCATGGAGATTTGAGTCCAACACACACAGGAGTTTTGGGGAAAACCTGCAGTTAGGAGGAAAGACACCTGGAGAAGGCCAACAGGGCTGGAGTGGAACAGGCACAGTCTGAGGACCAGCTCGACCCTGGGCAAGCACTTCCAATACTCTAACCCTCAACGTTTCCATCTGTAAGTTTCTCCAAGTTCGGTCTGTGAGATTGATTTTTATTTATTTAATTTTTTTTTAGGTTTTTGCCATAAGGTGCATGTGCTCACCAGAGACAGTGAGAAATCACTCCCACAAGGGAGGATGGCCACACCCCCACTCTCCCCTCAGGATTCTGAGCACCAACATACACACGCCCAGCATGATTCTCAAGTAGCCGGGTCTGGGACTTGAACCGTGGTTAGCCATATGGGAATAATCACCATGTGGGAATGTCACCTGCTGGCCCCCCATATTATTATTTTTTTAGAATTAAAAAAAAAAAGATTTATTGGGGCTGGCAGGTGGTGTGGTTTAAGGGGGCTGGACTCCCATGTGGGCAACCATGGTTCAAGTCTCGGACCTGGTGACTTGGTTTCTCACTTTCTCTCTCTCTGTTCCCCTCTGGTGAAATTAAAAATAAATAAATAAAGCTAAATAAAATAATTCTTTAAAAAAATAAAAGGATTTATCATTATTTTTTAATTTGATGAGAGAGAGAGAGAGAGAGAGAAAGACAGGAGAAAGCAAGCCACCAGGTCCAGGATTCAAACCACGGTCAGTCATGTGGGAGTCTAGCACCTTAACCACCTTGCCAGTTGTTGCCCCCCCAATTCTTTACATAAGGTAAGATTAATATATAGGTTATTGTTGTCTTCGAGTGAACTAATGTTTTAAATTTTTCGTTTTTAATTTCTAATGCATACTTATAAACATGACCCACATAAGAGTCTCTGAGATCTTAATGTTTTAAGTATGTTAAGGATCCACGAGACCAAAGATTTGAGAACTGCTGATCTATAAAACAGAAATAACAATCTCACAGATCTAAAAAAGACTAGATTTTTAAAAGAAATATTTATTTATTCACTAAAACTACTAGAGGGTGTGTGTGCTTGCCAGAAAGAGAAAGAAAAATAGAAAGAGGAGAAAGCACTCCTTCAGGCATGGCCATGCCACAATCCTTTCCCCCCATTTCTCTGTCCTGCTGGGATTTCACGCACACACGCCTGGTGTGTTTCTGCCACTGCCAGCGCCAGGTCTCGAACTGTGGTCAGCCATGTGGGATCAGCTTACTTAACCACGAGGCCACAGGGCAGCCTATCAGATGCTGCGTGTAACACAGCGTACTATCACCAGGCACTGGTCAAGGAACAGGAGTACATCCTATTTCGTCTCTGCAGTGAAAACAGGAAGGACAGGAAAGGGAAAAAGAAAAGAAGGACTATGACATTCAAAACAGCAGAAGAGAGCGCGGCGAAAAGACCACGAGCGTTGTCAGGTAGCACACCGAGGGGGCGAGACAGGACAGGCCTCGGCCCACCTTCCCCAGGGCCCGTGCCTGCCACAAAAACCCAGGGCTGCCGGCCAGCACTGAGGCAGCATGACCGCCAGCCCCGCGCTGGCAGGGGAGTGGGGTGTGGCCCAGAGACGGGTCAGTGACAGCATCTGTAAGGAGGGTGTCTGTTCCCAGCACAGGTCTCTGTGTGTTCAATGCCCATGCCCGGCTGTGACTCTCAGCGGGTGCAGTCACACTTACGCCACTGGAGACTGCCTTCTGTAGACTTATCGTTTCAGGGCAAACAGGGGTCCCAAACCGAGAATTTAAGTTCCAATGGCCAAAGACCCCCACCCCATGGTGGACTGGATGAGCTCGGGAGGACAGCGGTCCCTACCACGGGGCGTAGAACTCCAGCAGCACTGTGTCTTTGTCAGCCACAAAGTTATCAAAATTAGCGTCGGTTAGGACCAAGACACCATTTTCTTCCTTAACCTCCAGGTCGTCTTCCTCCTCCTCATCTTCCTCTTCCTCCTCATCTTCTTCGTCAATGGCATTTTCTCCATTAGAAGAATCTGAGCAGAAAATACCCAGATGGATTAGGAAGCTGGGGAATCTGCTTAAAGCTTTCCTGGAATCCAAAAGCTTCAAATTGTGTCCCGAGTCCTGGGCGCTTCCTGGGCAGCACCACGAGAGGCGCGGGCAGGGATACCGGGCCTCCCTCACCCCTGCATTTCCGCTAAACGGTGCGTGAAGCCACAGTTCCCGGATTCCAAGCCCAAGCATCCCAAACATGCGATGTGGAGGGCAGGGAGTCCCTCTCTAGACCTGCAGCCCCGTCTTGCTCTGCACACCCCCTTCCTGGATACAGAGAGCCCCAAACTTAGTATCCTCCTCCTCTTCCCCTACAAGGGCCTCTGTAGTCCCTCCCACCTGGCCCCTGTAGCACAGATCTCCCACACCTCTAAGGACCTCCTCATTCTGCGGTTCCCCCACGGCTCTCTGAAGACAAGGCGCTTCTTCCCCTTCTTGCCGCCTCACCCTGCTCCTCGCCTGCTTCCCTCAGGGAAGGCCCCAATAAGACTTGTGACGATGACCTGCCTGGTCCCCAAAACAGTACAACCGGAAACGAGTGCTCATTTGCGAGAGGAATACTGACTCCACTTCTGAAAATGACACTATCTCACCTCATACAGAATAGCCCGACAGGTTTCAGGACAGTCACAGCGAGTGATCTCTGGGGTGGCAGTTTTTTTGGATGGTGAGTTTAGAAATTGTTGGGACCGCAAACATCAGAAACTACACAATGAACTACACCTCTGCTTCCCAGAATGCAAGAAACTGAGTGTGATTTTTACCATCGAGATTTAGCACAGGGACCAGCAGGTAATGGCGTAGTTAAGGGCTGGACTTCCATGTGACCGATCACAGTTCAAGTCCTGGACCTGGCAGCTTACTTTTTCACTTTCTTTTTCTTTTTTTTTTTTTTTCCTTTTTTGGAGGGGTTTTAGGGCGCATGCGCTCGCCAGACAGAGAGAGAGAGACAGAGAGATAGAAAGCGAGAAATCACCCCCCAAGGGGGATGGCCACGCCGCAATCTCTTCTCCTCCATTCTCCTCTTGGGATCTTAGGCATGCACGCACATGCGCCCAGTGTGAGTTTAAGCTACTGGGTCTGGGACTCGAACCATGGTCAACTACGTGGGAGTCCAGCGACATAGCCATTATGCTAACTGCTGGTCCCTACTTTTTCACTTTCTCTCACTCCCTCTCATTTTCTCTGGTGAGCATACATACTCTATAGCAAATTACATAAAAACAATTAATAAAATTAAATAAATGTTCTTAAGAAATAAAGGGGACAGCAAGTGGTGTGGTGGTTAAGGTACTGACCTCCCACCCGGCTGACCACAGTTCAAGTCCCAGACTCGGAAACTTGAAACTCACACAAGGCGTGTGTGCATGCGTGTCCAAAATCCCGAGAAGAGAATGTAGGGAAGGGACTGTGGTATGGCTCCCCCACAATCCCTTGAACCGCGGCCAACTACATGGGAGTTCAGCAACACAGCCATTGCGCTAACTGCTGGTCCCAAAGAGACTAACATGTCAAAAAAAGTTGTTTTTTTTTTTCCTTTGAGAGGTTTTTCACTATAGGGCACGTGCGCTCGCCAGACAGACAGAGAGAGACATAGAGACAGAAAGCAAGAAATCACCTCCCAGGGGGAATGGTCATGCGTCAATCCCTTTTCCTCCATTCTCCTCTCGGGATCTTGGGCACGCACGCACATGCGCCCGGCGTGAGTTTTAAGCCACCGGGTCCGGGACGTGAACCG